GCATAGGGAACTGCCTTCATGTCCTCTATCTCTTGAGGCGTCTTCGGGGACATCCTCTTAGACAGAGGTATTCTATGCCGAAAGGGTAAATCCCCTTTCTTAGAATCCTGCATGTTGAAACGCTTCAGAACAGTGTCTATGTATGTGGATTGGGATAGGCACAACTTTCTCTTCTCTCGGTCGCGAATGACCTTGATTCCGAGAACATGTCCTACTTCTCCCAAATCCTTCATATCAAACTGCTTGGATAACCATACCTTTACGTCTGATAACATCTCCACATTGTTTCCAATAAGAAGAATGTCATCCACGTATAGCACTAGAAACACCACCACATTTCCATCACTTTTCTTGTAGACACAATGCTCATCCGAACATTGGGTAAATCCATACGATTGAACAACCTCGTCAAAATGCATGTTCCAAGATCTCGAAGCCTACTTCAGCCCATAAATGGACCTCTTCAGCTTGCAGACCAGATGCTTTTGGCCCTTTGCAATGAATCCTTCTGGTTGCTGCATATAGATGTCCTCGTCCAAATTCCCGTTAAGGAAAGCATTCTTAACATCCATTTGCCAAATCTCATAATCCATATGAGCGGTCACAGCCAAGAGAATCTTGATGGATTTGAGCATGGCTACCAGCAAAAAGGTTTCTTCATAATCGATCCCTTCTTTTTGAGTGTACCCTTTCGCAACAAGCCTAGCTTTGAAGGTCTCAACCTTCCTATCTGCTCCTCTCTTCCTCTTATAGACCCACTTGCATCCAATGGCTCGAACGCCACTGGGTGGCTCTACAAGATCCCAGACCTGATTAGTGTCCATTGACTCTATTTCAGATTTCATCGCCTTTTGCCAAGACTCTGCGTCCCGATCTTGGAGTGCCTCATTGTATGTCCATGGGTCGGATTCAAGAATATCCGGGACGACCTCAGAAGACTTTCCCAGACCCATGAACCGTTCGGGCTGCCGGACAACCCTCCCACTACGACGAGGTACTACCTGCTCAGGTGCGTCATCAGCGATACGTGTTGCAGTGCTTTGTGGTATAACATCTAGCGCACTCGGTATCGAAGTACTCACTCCCTTTAACTCCTCAAGAACATGTCTACTATTGGGCTTATGATCTAAGACATAGTATTCTTCCAAGAACCTAGAATTCGTGCTAACGATTACTTTCTGGTCCTCAGGACTATAAAGTAGACCACCTTTCGTTTCCTTAGAATATCCCACAAACAGCCTTACTTCTAATCTTGGTTCCAACTTATTAGTATCGGTTCTCAGCACATGTGCTGGACTACCCTAAATCCTGAGATGCCTTAGACTAGGCTTATGCCCAGACCACAACTCTAATGGTGTAGACGGTACTGATTTAAAAGGTACTCTATTCAGAATGTATACCGCTATTTCTAGGGCATATCCCCAAAACGAATCTGGTAATGTACTATAACTCATCATTGCCCTAACCATTTCCATAAGAGTCCTATTCCTCCGTTCTGCTACGCCATTCTGCTGAGGCGTGCCACGCGCAGTCAGCTAGGACGTAATCCCATTCGAGAGATATTCGCCACCACGATCTGATCATAATGTTGATACTTTTTCCTAACTGCTTCTCCACAACTGCCTTATACTCCAAGAACTTCTCAAAGCATTCAGACTTGCGGTGCAGAAGGAAAATGTACCCATATCTTGAGTAATCATCGATAAACGTAACGAAGTACTCGAAACCACCTCTCACGTGAACACTCATAGGACCACATAGATCGGAATGAACTAGCCCTAACACATCTTCGCCTCTATGCCCCTTTGAACTAAAAATCCTCTTAGTCATTTTACCTTCCAGGCAAGACTCACAAGTTGGAAAAGCCTCGACTTCTAACGACCCCAAGGGCCCGTCTGCTACCAACCTTTGAATCCTCCTAAGGTTAATATGACCAAGTCTTAGATGCCAAATGTTGACATCATTTTCAGTAAACCCAGTTAAGCGACGCTGATCGAATGATTATAATTAGTCGGAGGGTGATTAAATTCGTACAAGTAGATGATGTCTTCACAGGTCTCAAGACAATCACATATCGGGTAAAAATTCATCAAGAAACGACATCTTCGTCGATTGACCGATATCTCATGTCGGTTATGACATGTCGGTTACTACATGTCGGATATGACATATCAGTTATAACTACACAAGCCGATATCTATGACTTGCCAAACTGACACCATAAGGCGGTGCCAACTCAGCACAACTCATCATTATGCCTGGCCAAGTGGCATGCTACCAGGATGAATGGCAATTAGCCGCCGTTGACCATTCCCATGTAATGATTATGTTTCAGATAAATGTTGTAAATGAATATAAAAGAAAAAAGGAGATTCTCCAGGGGGACACGAGAGAACAAAAAGGACAAACAATAACATTCAGTAGATTTTTGCTTCATTTAACTTCATTCAACTTTTCATACAGCTTGCCATACAGTCGTTGTTAATCTACCACTTTTTATACAGCTTGCCATACAGTCGTTGTTAATCTACCTTGAATTTACAATAAATCCCTGATTATCATATAGTTGTTAATTTCCATTTAACAACAGTTTGGCGCTAGAAGGAGGGCCTCATCACGTTTTGAGGTTAACTTTCTCGCTGTTAAAGCCATTTTCGAGCTTGAAGTCACCATTTCGCAATCTGGTCGAGACCATACCGCTCATCCTGGCTAGAGTCAATCGACTAGCCATTCCCCACGGCGTTCAACACCACCTCCTCCGGTCACGAATATCACGAACTTTCTTCAAAACCCGGAGTTTATTCAAGGTTTAACCTCTCTGATAGCTCGAGCCATGCCCAGAAACTCGAGTACGGTGCCATTATCAACGCCGTTAACTACCAATCCCAATCCAACAGAACATCCAAATCATAGTCGTCATGACCCCGAAACCCATGCGGCGACATCCCATGCTACGTCACAACCACACCATACTTCTCCACGTCGAGAAGAGTTAACTCGTATAAATGCTAACCCAGTAACGAACAACCAAGCCCCGGAGGAACCCCCCGTACAGGAAATGACTGCTGAAAGCCACTCTGCTCATCATCAGCAAATTCCGTCACGTCCTAGACTTACTTCACCAATGCCTCATGTTCGTGAAGATTTGCGGCGCCAGATTGAACGGAATTGTATTTCAAGACACAGTGCAGAGAAAATTGAAGCTCTACGTAAACACTTGGCCGAACTCGAGACTCGACAGAAGTCACAGGAAGATTCTCCCCGACATGTCTCGACGTCGGGAAATGTCATTATTGAAGCTGATTCACCTTTAGCTCCGGAACTTACCGCGGAGGCACTTCCTGCTAAGGTAAAAATCCCACAAATGGGCATGTATGATGGAACATCGGACCCAGATGCGCACTTAGGTCATTATACGTCTTGGATGGATTTGCATGGCGCCTTAGATGCTTTGAGATGTCGGTTGTTTTCGCTTACACTGGGGCCACAAGCACAAAAATGGTACTATACTCTCCCACCTCATTCAATTTGGAAGTGGCAACAATTACGTGCGGCCTTCCGATCACACTTCATCGGAGCTCAAATTTGTCTCATCCCAAAAGAATCAATTACTAACATCGTGCAAAAGGACGACGAGACTGTTAAGGACTACGTGTCTCGGTTCAACGATCGAATTCAAAATATGGAGCCTTGTCACCCTGAGACCTTGTTAGTAACCGCAATCGCTGGACTGAAGCCCAACTCGATGTTTCGCTGGACCCTGTGCCAAAACAAACCGGCTACGTTTCAAGAATTCCTTGTACGAGCTCAACAATTCATTATTGCCGAGGAATCGATGTCGGTTCCCAGTTTCGACTTCTCGACGAAAGAAAATAAAACTGAACCGGACGCTAAAAAGAAGAATAAGAAGAACTTTGGGAAAGCACAATTTCGGAATTTCTCCAAAGGATATGAAAACACTCTAGAGTCTAGGGCCGCTCGTGATCAGTATTCAGACAATGTCAGGACAGGCTATCAGGCTGTTTATTCAGCTGGAGCAGCTACTATATACGAAGAACTGAAAGGAAAAGTGATTATTCTAGACCCCAGACCTATGAGAACCCCTGAAGACAAGCTGGACAAAACTCGATACTGTGCATACCACAAGTCTCCGGGACATAATACCGATGAGTGTCTCGGTCTTTTGTCAGCTCTCTTACGGTTAATTGGACAACCTCAGCTTCAAAAGTTCCAAAATTTTGATAATCGTCGGAAAGGGAGACCCTTAGATCTTTTAGATGATCGACTTTTAGATGATGAAGACGATGATAATCGACCTGTTAACCCGAAAAGAGCTCGCGCAAACGATAAGGAGGTTTTCACATTTTCTACTTTTGCCAGAACTTCGACCGATAACTACAAAAAATCCAGGACACATGATACCTTAGACTCTTCGCATTGCCTACCTCGAGTCAATTCTAATAATAAAAAGCTGGACACTTCTCGACGGAAAGCCAAAGCCTATGCTCGGGAGGCACAAAATGCCGAGAAACGAGTCATGAATGTTGATCTTCGAGATACTATTAATAAGCGAAATTGTCCTATCACATTCAGTATCGAAGATGCCAACCTATTTGCTCATCCTCATTCCGACGCCCTTATTATCACAGCCCCGATTGGAGGGATCCCCGTCCACCGAATTTTGGTCGATACAGGAGCTTATTCAAGTATTTTGATGCTCCGCACTTTCAAGAAATTGGGTTTGGACCCAGCAGATATTAGACCTTGCAACGACCAAATTCAAGGTTTTAACGGAAGCATCTCTTGTCCCGTCGGCGAAATATTACTACCTATTCGATTTGGCGGTTTTGCGCCAAAATCCAAGATTATCATGGAGACTTTCAAAGTCTTGGATGTCCAGAATGAATATAATGCTGTTATAGGGCGAACTGCACTTTAGAAGCTCCGTGCTGCCGTGTCGATTTTTCATTACGCTTTGAAGTTCCCTACCATTGAAGGAGAAGGCACTCATTACGGAGATCAACGAGAAGCTCGAAGTTTGATGTTTCTTTCAACTTCGCGTAACTTTCATATGATTGAAGAGCAAGATACTGATAACTCTATTGGGTTGAACAACCCAACCCCTTCTGATGCTGAAAGAACTAATCAATTTGCTTTAGATACCGACATCCCTCTTGCAGATACCGATGTCTCTATGACGTCGGGTTTGCCCAAAATGCCAAATGAAGCCCTTGATCAAGAACAATATTCTTATGAGAAAGACATAGGGATACACGAAGATATGGATCCACGGATGCAATTCAAAGATAAGAATCATCATGCCAGAGTGGAACCAGTCGAAGACGTTGAAACTATTTACGTGGACGGATTGACGCAGGAAAAGTCATTGCACATTGGAGTTAACCTTCAAGAACCCATACGATCGTGCTTAATTCAATTCCTTCAGTCAAATTCCGACGTATTCGCCTGGAAACATGAAGACATGAAAGGAATCGACCCACAGAAAGCATGTCATCGCTTAAATTTGGATATGACTGTAAAGCCTGTTATACAGGAACGCCGAAAATTCAGCCCGGATCGCCAGAAGGCTCTTGAAGAGGAAGTGAACAAGCTCATTGACAATAAGTTCGTCAAAGAAGCCAAATACCCGACGTGGATATCAAACCCTGTCTTGGTTAAGAAAGCCACTGGCCTTTGGCATCTGTGTATTGATTTCTCGGATTTGAATCAAGCATGCCCGAAAGATAGCTATCCAATTCCACACATTGATTACATGGTAGACGCTACGTCGGGACATCAACTCATGAGCTTTTTGGATGCCTATTCCGGTTACAATCAAATTTCTATGCACCCTGATGATGCTGAACATACATCGTTATACTCAGCCCGAGGTCTGTATTGCTATGTCAATAAACGACTGATGCCACACCCACTCAACTTTGTCGACCCAACGATGAATCAGGCCGGGGATGAATCGAAAAAGAAATCTTTATTGGTTCATCTTTTGGTGTAACTGGTTATTCCTTTCCTCGGGACCAAATTGGTTATTGGGCGGTAAAGATGACTTTTGGATTGAAGAATGCTGGGGCCACATACCAAAGGTTGGTCAATAAGATGTTTGCTCGTTTAATCGGTCATACAATGGAAGTTTACGTGGATGACATGCTGGTAAAATCGGAACAAGCCTCTGATCACATCGCTCATCTTTCTGAAGTCTTTGACATTCTCCAAAAATACTCCATGGTACTTAATCCCAAGAAGTGCACCTTCGGGGTTGGATCAGGGAAATTTTTAGGATACATGGTGAGTCAGAGAGGAATAGAAGCCAATCCTGCCAAGATCCAAGCTATACTTGAATTTGCTCCCCCGGCATCTATTAACGGTGTCCAAGCTTTAACTGGTCGACTGGCAGCTCTAAACTGATTCATTTCAAAGTCGACGGAACACTGTAAGCCGTTCTTTGACGCTATCAGAAAGAAGAAGCCGTTCCAATGGACCGTGGAATGTCAGAATGCTTTTGACAACATCAAAGAAGTTCTCTCACGATTACCAACGTTGCAGAAACCTCTTCCTGATGAACCTTTGTATTTGTACTTAGGTGTAAGTGACGTTGCTGTTAGTGCTGTTCTTATACGACAAGATGGGCTTCAGCAGTTCCCGATATATTACGTTAGCAAGGCCTTACATGACGCTGAATTGCGATATCCATATATGGAGAAATTAGCCTTTGCCCTGATCATTGCTGCACGAAAGCTGCGCCCATATTTTCTGGAGCATTCTGTTATTGTGTTTACATCATACCCTCTCCGACAAGTCCTTCACCGACCTGACACATCGGGAAGAATGATTAAGTGGGCGATAGAACTGGGACAATTTGACATTCAGTATCGACCACGAGCTGCCATCAAAGCTCAAGTGTTATCCGACTTCATAGCTGAGTTTACCCCAATTGTCAGTACATCCATTGAAGATCCGACATGGACTCTTTACATTGATGGATCATCCACCGCTATACGAGCTGGAGGAGGAATTGTCCTAGTTAGTCCTGATCAACAAGTGTTTTGTTACTCTGTAGCATTCACTTTCCCGGCCACCAACAATGAAGCTGAATATGAGGCCCTCTCATCAGGCCTACACTTTGCCGAATCCATGAATGATTCCTCTCTCCAGATATTTTCTGACTCTCAGTTACTGGTCAGCCATATTAATGGCACTTACGAAGTTAAGGAACCACGATTGTTACCTTATTTTGATCTCGTCAAGAAGAAGCTATCACGGTTCAAAATGATGTTAGAACATATACCTCGGTCATCTAATATTCAAGCAGATGCTCTTTCACGTTTGGCCTCTTCAACCGATTTGAACAATGTCGAGTTTGTGCAAATTACTCAACAGGCGACTTCCTCAACAATTTCTGCCGACGTCGTCATGATCGACGCTGCCTCATTAATCCCAGACCCGACATGGATGGATCCAATCATCAACTATCTTCAAACCGACACCGAACCCGAAGACCCAAAATAAGCTCGCACTCTTCGTGTTCGAGCTGCTCATTTCACAATTGATCAAGGAACATTATATAAGCGTGGATATTCTATTCCGTTGCTCAAGTGCTTGTCGGAAATTGACGTCCGACGTGTTCTTCAAGAAGTACATGAAGGAATCTGCGGTACTCATCAAGGAGCAGAAGCCTTGTCCCATAAGATTCTCTGACAAGGCTACTATTGGCCGACTATTAGGAAAGATGCCGCAGACTGGGTGCGAAAATGTCACAAGTGTCAGATATTTGCTCCCAACGTTAATCAACATCCTGAACTTCTCAAGTCAATATATAGCCCATGGCCGTTCGCAAAATGGGAAATTGATTTGATTGGCCCACTTCCGACAGCAAAAGAAGGTGTTCGGTTTGCAATATTAGCTGCTGATTACTTCACTAAATGGGTTGAAGCTGAACCTCTTGCAACCATCACCGAATAAAATATGATCGATTTTGTGTGGAAATAAATCGTTTGTCGGTTTGGAATACCGAACTCCATCATAACCGACAACGGTCGTCAGTTTGAAGGGAAACGATTTGAAGGCTTTTATGAAGATTATGGCATCAAACACTTCTTCTCGTCACCTTATCATCCACAAGCCAATGGACAGATAGAAGCTGTAAATAAGATTATCAAGAATGGTCTGAAAACTCGGCTTGAGTCTGCAAAGGGATCCTGGCCTGATGAGTTACCTTATGTCCTCTGGTCTTACCGGACGACGACACGAAACTCAACTGGAGAAACTCCGTTTTCATTAGCATACGGAACTGAAGCTGTGATACCGGTTGAGCTTGCTTCTCCAACATATCGGATTACTCATTTTTACGAAGAAACTAACTCGACAAACCTGAAAGCCAATCTCGATTTGGTCGATGAATTACGGGCTGATGCTGAAATCCTAAATGCCGTTTATAAATGACGTAGTGAGAAGTACATCAATTCAAGACTCAAGCCACGCTCATTCATCGTAGGAGACCTTGTGCTGAAAAGAATCACCGGGGCCAATGTCAGTCCGTTACAACCGAAGTGGGAAGGACCCTTTAAAGTGAACCGTCTGATCTCCAACGGTACCTACCGACTTGAAACTCTAGATGGTATTCCCCTTCAGTATCCCTGGCACGCAACTTATCTGAAAAAGTATTATCAGTAAACCTGAGGGTCGGACCTTTGTCTCCGATGTATAAAAGCCTTCTGTTCTGCTTATGTACGAGAATCACGTTTTGTTATCAATAAAGTTTGTGTGACGAACCACTATAATTTGTTCGATCACTCGGACCACAATAAATCGGTCCTCGTTGCTAAGGCTAAACGTGTTTCATACCCTGAAGTTGGCATGACCTAGCTAAACGCGACAAAGCCGGATACTTCCAAGCCCTGAAGATGGTTTGGGGAGGCTTATGCTCTATAATATCAAATCCCGACGTTGATTTGATGAGCTCACAATAAATGTTTGCAATAAAAGCAAGTTTCTTACAACTTGTTCTGATAAAGAGTTTGCAGATGTCGGATATACTATAAATTATGCCGACACCAAATAATTTAAACAAACTCATAACAAGGCAAAATGTAAGTGCCAAGTATCACGTCGGAGTAATTACAAGCATGATTTACTAAACATTCATTTATCCTTACTCCGACATGTTTTGACTTCTTACAATAAATATGTCAAGACATTACATTCATGAAACACGAAATCAAAACATCAAATTTCATTCATAATAAGAAATTGTCATTACATTCGATAAAAAAAAAAAAATAGATAACAAATTTCATTCGTCCTTTTTAGTCCCCGACGATGAAGCCTCTCCGGCTGTGGAAGATTGGGAATTCCCAACCTCGGTCCTGCTCTTGTCCGCTGCATCTAAATGGTTTATCAACCTCTCACCCAGGCGTTACATTACCTCTTCCTCCTTCTCTTCCATAGCTCGGACGACGTCGCTTTCTTTTATAATGACGACATCATCGTCCTCGTGCAAGACTCGATCGTCGTCGGAGGGAATCAGTTCGATCAGCCACCCTTTGGCTTTGGCGTCGTCCTCGACCACTTTTTTCGAGGCAAAGCCAGTAATTGCCTCCATTAATTCCTCATCAGATAGGCCCTCCAAAGTTTCGACGACAAACGCCTCAGCAATCGCCTCAACACATATGTTCGCTAAGTCGGGTTTTTTAACCTTCTCTACTTCAAGGACCATATTGATGAAGGCCCAGCGAATCTTAGCCTTGCGCTCTTCCGACAGCGGCGCCATGTCCAATTCTAACATCCGACTCTCCTTCTGCTTTAGAAGTCGGTCGGCGAAGTCTCGCTCATCTTGGTCGGCCGGAATATGAGCATTTTTTATTTCAGGGTTGAGGCGATGTTTCTCCATTTTGTGCAGAAGGAAGATGTGCAGCTCGTCGATAGTGTAGACGCCGTTTTCCACTCTGTCGATCACCCAGCGTACCGTTAGTGCGGCATTTAACTCCAGATCCCACTCGGTCACCACATCCGCGTTCAGTACTTTGTCGGATTCAGCCACCGCTTTCTTGCCGGCGTCAATGCCTTCTTGGAATTTGAGGTCACTGTCATCTCCTGACGGAGCTTACCCATGGCAATCTCGTGAGCCTCACGACATCGGATCAATTCAGCGTCCTTATCGGATCGATCCTTCCTTACAGCTTGAAGCTCAGCCTTCAACCTCGTGAGCTGCTCGTCTTTCTCCTTGGCTACATCAGCAACTTTAGCCAGTTGAACCGACATGAGGTCATGGGCCAACAAAAGATTCTCCCTTTCTGTCTTAAGGGCGCCCACCTCGGTTTGTGCCGCTTTCAACTGGGCATCCTTCTCCGACATTGATGCCTCGTAGCGAGATTTCTCATCTTCCAGAGACGTTATGGCACCCTCCTTCAGACTCAATTCATGCTGCTTCTCATCAAGTTCATGAACTCTACCCCGATAACTCTCCTCAGCAGCAATGAAGCTAACAAGCGCCCGTCCCAAGCAACCTCGGGCATAGCTAAACTTCTGGTCGTCGGGTAGAGACGCAATCCCGGCGTGAGCCTTTGGATCCCATGACATCAGCGGAACTTTCGCCGCCTTCACCGCCTCGCTGGGGACCCGATGGTTAATCGTCACTTTTGGCTTGGCGACTGTTTGGAACATAGCAAACCAGGGATCAAACACATCCTCTGGCAGCTTTAGCTCCGCCGCTTTCTTCTCATTCACTTTGAGGAAGGAGTCCCTCAGAATGATTTCAGGCTCTTCCTCTTTATCTTTACCGGCGCCGGTGTTTGGCTTCTTCTTCATCCTCTCGGCCACGTGTGACACGCAAGATGTAACACCCCGCAATTTGTAATACATCAGAGTACGCGGTTTTTCGCAAATTTTCT